GTTGAAACCGAACCTGTCCTACTTTGGGCACATCAGGAGAGGGCAAGATTCTCTGAAAAAGGCAATAATGCTGGGAAAGACTGAAGGCAGCAGGAAAAGAATAATATTAAATATGAGGGATTGACTCCCTTAAAGAGGTATTGATGACATGTAACAATAACAGCAACGTCAAGTGAAGTTTATGGATACATTTTGTCTGTAAACAAATTGTATGTGTTTAGGTGTTTAGAAATGGATCAAACATCCCATAATAAAACCAGGAAGCAATGTATGATCTAATGCACATATCCTGAAAATTAGCAAACTACAGTAAGGAGTGTCTGGTACATTGGATAGAAAAGTAAATCACACAGAATGTGCCATGTGGAAAATATGTGGATACACCATTCTGAAACAATTGCTTATCATGCTATGCAGAAAGCACTCATAAATACCAGATTCTGGGGCTTTTCATAATGAGGCAAGAATTTAGCATATACTCAATGATTTTTTTTAAAAAAATACATATAGGATGGAATTAATGCTATGGCTAATTCTCTGTAATGCTAGGAAATGGAAAATAAACTTTAACATTGTTTTCTGTGCTCAACAATGTCGTTTTGCAACCTCACAAATTGCATTGGTATAAAACCAATTTTTCATGCATCTGCACTTCTGCTTGTTTTTGCATTCCCATATCCAGATAAAGAACTTAATGCTTCAGAATAACAAAGGTACAACTGCACAAGCCCATAAAGAAGGCTGACCACCGAAGAATTGATGCTTTTGAATTATGGTGCTAGAGGAGACTCTTGAGAGTCCCATGGACTACAAAGAGAATAAACCTATCCATTTTGAAGGAAATCAACCCTGAATGCTCACTGGAAGGACAGATCCTGAAGCTGAGGCTCCAATACTTTGACCATCTCATGAGAAGAGAAGACTCGCTGGAAAAGACCCTGATGTTGGGAAAGTGTGAAGGCAGGAGGAGAAGGGGACAACAGAGGATGAGATGGTTGGACAGTGTCACTGAAGCTACCAACATGAATTTGATCAAACTCAGAGAGGCAGTGGAAGACAGGAGGGCCTGGCGTGCTCTGGTCCATGGAGTCACGAAGAGTCGGACACAACTTAACGACTAAACAACAAAAATACATTTTAGGGGCAAAGAGGAATACAGGCACCAAACATGACATTTCAAAGCGACAATTATTAATATAGGTAATTTATTTTATTTTATTTAAAATATTTTTGCCCAGCCTTTCTCCATAATGGGCCCCAAGTAATGAACTCTGAGAAGGTTGATTACATAAACAGTCTGCCATTGCCAGGGAGATTGTCCTTTTGAAACACAAATACTCATCAAGATTATTCTAATAGTCATACCCACAAGAAGGGTTCAAAATTATAGCCAATTATATTGATCCATATCTACAAACCACTTCTCACATTCTTTTTGTTTCCATTAGGAGTAGGGCTTCTGCAAAATGGGGGAGGGTATTAATTACTAATTCATGATCAATCACTTCTATTCCTTTGCACTGCAATAAGAACAATTCAGAAGACTATATTGTGTGGATTGTAGTTAGCTATCATTTCCCAGTTGCCAGTGATCTGGTTTCCCTGTTCCCTAAAAGGGAAACCAGATCTCTGATGACTGGCAAATGACATCACTATCCTAGCTAATTTACAAAATAACAAAACTAGGGCTTTAGCTGCTGTAAAGCCTAGCTCCACTCAAAGAAATCTTGAGAACAGAATATCTGGGTTTCTTTGCAATAACGTTGCTCATGAGCCAAACCCTGAGAAGCCTAGAAGGGCAACAATATCCCCCAGCACCCCTGATCTCATGACAACCCTACGGCCTGCAAAAAACAAAAACAAAATAAATCAATTAAAAACATTTTTAGTTGAAACAAATGTCTCTGTGCCCACGAGATGTGGGGCCACTTTTTCTAAGTTTTGAGGTCCCTCAGCATCCATGGGCATCCCATAACCTGATTTCTAAAAATCTTGGTCATTAGTAACAATTTCATTTTAGGAGAAAAATGGTGGTGGTGGGGATAATGAAAGCAAGTGCAACACTCTAGGGATGAGCATCTGTTGTTTTTGGCATTATAGCGATTTTCCAGCCCTAGCCTCAAATAATGTTATTCCAGAGCCTACTGACATTTTATTGTATGTATTAATGATATCCACCTATGGACAATTTGCATGCCAGGGCATCTTTTGAGTTTATGTAAATTTTAGATATCGAATACAGGAAGGAATACATTTCAATTTGAAACAGAAGTGGGGGATTTGTGGTCCTTCCAATGTCACTGGATTGCAACAGCTTTTGCCAGCATATCCAGTGGTAAGGAATACACTTGGTAGGTACACGGGAGGGCCTTTTCTGTTGCCGCTCCTAAACTTTGGCCCTCCCACAAGAGGCCAGACTGGCCACATCTTTGCTGTCCTTCTAGAAGCAGACAAACGCCTTTAGTTTCAGGCAAGTTTTCCCTTAAGGTCTGGCTGCCTAAATAGGGTTTTAAATGTATTGTAGTATCTTTCAGCATTGAATGTGTTTTTAGTGTTTAGTTTTCTAATATGTCATTTATTTGATCCCTTTCATATTTGTATACTCACCCTTGTTGCTTTAGATACTGTCTTTTAATGATACAAGCCACCTTGGTTTCTTTTTAAGGATAAAGGTGGGCAAAAATATTTTAAATAAATATATCCTCTAGCAACATCTGGAAGGCCTTTGGTCTCCCACCTCCTTTAAATGTAAACAATGAGGGAAAAGGGAGCTACTCTATTTTTCAAATATGCAGTGTTTAATTCAGTAGCAAAGAAACACCTTCCTGTACTCATTGCTTCCACTACAAAGGCAGCACCAGAGGCCCTAAAGAACAGATGTTATACCCACCACCATCTGCACTCAGGGAAGACAAATGGCTTCCTGTCATAGCTCTGTGGAAGAGGATATGGGTGGGGCATCTGCAGTCATTGTGCGGTCTCTGAAGCAGCTTAGCTTCCAGATAGTAAATATAGCACCTTTTAGCAGCCCTCCTGAATCCAGGATCTTCTAGGTATGTCAGAGTACAGATCTCTCAACCATTTCCCTCAGGCAAGAGCTCTGATGGTTGTTGTAGCACGACACATCTGGAAAATGTCAGGCTAGAGAAGGTTGGTTTTTAGAGTACAAACCCATGATGAATAGGAAAATTGACATTAGAAAAGTCTGTGGAAGTAGAAATGAAGTTGTTTGTACAAGTAGTAGGATTGTGTCATGCCCCAGGACTTTGTTGTTGTTGTTGTTGTTGTTGTTGTTGTTGTTGTTGTTGTTGTTGTGTGCTTTCAAGCCATTTCTATCTTATGGTGACACTGGGTTTTCTAGATATGTGAGATGTTCAAGGAAATATGGTACCACACTGTTATCATATTTTAATGGGTTTTCACAGCCAAGCGGAGATTTAAGCGAGGCCTCTTGAGTTCTACTCCCATACTCCTCTAGTCACTATGCCACACTGAACCTCTGTGAGACACATCATAAGGCCAAAACCCAGTGTCTCAGGGATGCGCTCCATATTAACATTCTTTGCTCTTACAGCTTTGTAGTTCCCTCTGACTGAACCTCTAGCGGTTTCCATTGCACTATTACAATCTGTTATGCATAGAGAAATTGCTGGTAAATTGTGAAGGCCGCATCTGTGGAAAGGCCAAGCCACAGATAGCATGCTTCATATGAAGGAGTCCCCAAGGGATCTATATCTACTCCATGTAGGCAATTTGTTTATACAAATATGATAAATCAACACAGGATTGCAGCCTTATTCTGATTTTTTTTTTATTCTGCCACTTTGCTTTTCTTTTGACATTTTAGGATTCTGCATACTATTCTTTTGGAAAGAAATTGCTAAGATTTCCTAAACGTAGCATTTGTATCACTCCAAATACTGTACTGACTGGGCTGCTTAACAAATGGATTACATTAAAATGCTCAATCTGCTGGTAGTTTGAGCATTAAATTAAATTTGCTATTAATCCATTTGCTATTAAGGCCTTAATCCATACTTGAGAGACAAGGCTGGAAGTCATTGTGCAGATAATTTAAATAATAAAATAGGAGGACAAAAGAAATAAGTGACACAAACAGAAGTTTATGACACAGTTTAACAGGTGAGAAGGACATTTATGGCACTGGTGAGAGGCAGTGACACTTTCCCTGGGTGCCAAAATCTCTAGTTACAACTCTTAAGCACAGCTTTGTTTGCATGTTTGATGTTTTAGGCACCATTGGACTGACAAACGTCCTTGCCTGTAGGGATAGCTTTGTAAGACAATCAAATACTGTATGCTTCCCCCCCCCTTCATATGTTATCTGCCTGTCTGTAAACCAGAAACAAAAACACACAAGGATATGTGGACTAAACTCTAATCCTAAATGTAGGGCAGTGGATAGAGTGTTGGAATAGGAGTACTCAAGAGACCTGGGTTCAAATTCTCAATTGCTAAACCACCACTGAATATCTCATATACTGTATCTCAAAAACGCTGTTAGATTCACCACAAGTAACTTGACAGCACATAACAGCAGCTGTGAAAAGGAGTGAATTATAAGGTAGCCTGCAGGAATTTTTCCTGGAACGTTACTACATGGTGGTACAATGCACTATTCACGTGCATAATACGCACGGCCACAACACATGGTGTCTGTTTGTGTACATTAGAGTAATAAGAAAGGACACGGATTAAACGGTAAGCGACCATTTATTTGCTCGACCTCGACACCCCTCAGTGGTGCCAACCCTTGTTCGAGACCTGGCTTGTGCGGTCCACACTCGCCCCCAAGTTTTCTTGCTGACACACTGAGGTGATTCAGGAGAACCCCACGCCCTAGGGAGGGAAAACATGAGGTGGGCTGACGCTCCTTCGTTCTCCCAACGTTACCAGTACGGCTGCTATTCATCCACTTTCTCGGAAGGTGGCTGCCTTTCGCCCCACCCCCTCCCTGCCGCTGCCGGGGAGTTAACGTGTGGGGGGGGGGAGTAAGTGAGCTAGCCCGCGTGGGGCGCCGCGCCATCGTCTCGCTGAGGGCGGGAGAAGGGGAAATGGGAGAGTGCCTTCGCCGCGGGAGCTCGGCGCTCGCCTTGAGAAACGGAGCGGCCCCCCCAGGCGCCATGAGCGCCCCCTGTCCCTAGCGGCTTGCCCCCCCCCCCAACAGGGGAGGCGGTGGCCGCGGCGAAGCCAGCCGCGTGCGGCTTCTGGGCCCGGCTCAGCCCCTTTTCATTCTTTGCTATTGTGGCGGCGGCGGCGGGCGCTCGTTCTAGCAAAAGCTCCAGGCAGGCAGGCGGACGAGCGGGCGGGCTTGCCGGCTGGCTTCCCCACACACGAGAGCGGGCAGGCTGCGCGGCAATGGCTTGGTGGTAAGTAAGCGAGCCTCCGGCTGCGTCTGGCCTCTTCCTGCATCTCTTTTGGGGGGAGGTTTAGACGTGAGCTTGGAGGAAAACAGCCCGGGGGGGGAGCCTGCCTTGGTTGCATCCCCGCGAGCCTCCCGGGGACGTCGCTGGACTCCGGGGCTTCACCCACCAGCGAAGACCGGCCGGCTCTTGCGGTCTCGAGCAGGCTAAATGCCAGGGCACACAGCATTGTGGATGGGACGGGACGGCAAAGGGGATGCAGCGACCGGAAACCTCCTTCGCCTCCTCATTTGGGAAACTGGTGCAGCCGTACGCGGCAAATGGCCAGAAAGCCAGAGACAAGGAAGATCGCTTCGTGGGAATCGGGCTTTATCCGACAAAAGGATCTCGTCAGCCGTTTATGTTGTCTGCAATCGCAATTTCTCAAAAAGAAAAACGCGCTGAGATTAAAACCTGGTGGTGGTTCCCTGGCGTGACAAGAGCGAGCGAGGGCCCCTTTTCTCTCCTCCATGTAAAATGCGTTACAGTATTAGAATATAAGCCGTCCTGTAATTGCTGCCGAGTGCTTCCCGCTTTAACATGATATTGCTTCTTGGGAGGAAATAGTCCGTTCAGGTCATAACAGCTTCCAGAAACAACAGGATAAACACCGCTCCCCGCCCCCGATCTTCATAACAATGCAGCCACTTAGAACGAGGTCTCTTAATTGGCCCATTTGGTATATCCAGCCACACAGGGAACGCTACCCCTATATTTTCCTTTCTCCTGTACAGGCAAGTAGGGTCTGCACTAGGGATTTACTGCATCGCTACTCCATCTCATTCATCTCTGGACTGCAGCTTTCTCTTTGCCTGCTCTCAGCAGTTTCACAGCTCTGTTATTGATCTCAAGAAGGCTTGTGGTTTCCATCAAAATGGCCTTGAATGCAGCACAAATTTGTTTCTGGAGGAAAAAGCCATCAAGTTCATAAATAAGGTGGCACCAAGGAAGGGTCGTTGCTCAAAATGCCCCGTTACAGATATCTTATTTTAAATAGCATTGACAATTTTTTTAGTGTAGTAGATTGCCTGTTTAATTTAACAGTGTGTTACATTCTGCAGGTGCTAATGTCAGGTTTGCAACCAGATTCAAGTAGTGGTTGGATACAGCTGTACATCCAAGCATGCTTATTCAACACAGTGAGGACTAGATTTTTGTATGTGTGCCCAGTAATTGCTTTTGTTCTAACAGATGTTTTAGAATGATGCATGGAAACAATATTGTCTTAATATGACAAAATAAAACGGGGAGAAAACAGGCAAGAAGTGATGATTGTGTGTAATTGCATTGTCCAGCTGTTGATAGATAAAGGCTCATTTGAAAAAAAGCATTTTATAGGACAACTTCATTTGACAAATCACTTAAAAGAAATAGAAGCATTTCTGGGTGGGATTCCACAAAGATAGAGACAAACAGCGCTGATAAGATTGTAGAGTTTGATCAGGAATTGTGGCGGGTCATCACCTTGAGAAATTCAGTCTACAGATATGAAATGTGCTTTAAAAAGCTTGCAGAGGACATTGCCAGGTGGTTGCTAGTATTATAGAAATCATAAAACTGAGGTCTAGTGATAAAAGTGATATGTAATCTATATGGCAACAGGGCTATTTGGTGATTGCTTACATGGATGCATCTGTATTCATGTTCAAAATAACATTCTGTATTGTATTTATGTGTGTATATATTTGTTATAGAGACACCAACAATATTTAGAGGTACATGAGATGCACAAGTAGTGGTTTACTCTTGCCACTCTCCTTAGCAACTTTATCTAGCCAAGCAGGGATTTGAACCCAGATCTCTTGAGTCCTAGTGGCTCAGTGACTGTCTCGTGTATCTATATCTATATTTATTTTCTGTGAATGTTTGAATTTTCAGTGCTAGGAAATGTTTTGGAACAATAAATAGTAGTTAGAGCAGTACAGCAATGGAACCAATTACCTTGGGAGGCTGTGAGTGCTTTAATGCTGGAGGCATGCAAGAGAAAAATCAGATAATCATCTGTCAGATCCACTTTGATCTGGATTCCTGACTTGAACACGGGGTTGGACTCAATGGTCTCATAGGCCCCTTCCAACTCAATTATTCTATGATTCTAGTGTCCTAAGGTTAAGTATGTTTGGTTAAAAATAAGCCTCTTACTTCCAGAGAGCTTTGGCAATTCACATACAGTATCTGAATCATATCACTGATTTAAAATGGATTTAATGAGTTTGGGGATGTGATTGAAGACTGAGTCACAACCCCTTCAGCGTATTGCCATTCCTAGAAAACACTCACTCTGTGATGAGTTTGCTGAGAGGAAAGTGTGGTGGCTACTGGCATGTGCTAAATTCAGCACAGATAGTCATTTAGCATGACACTACAACCAGAAGCAATTGTGGACAATTATAATGATATACTAATAATTCTAAGTGTGCCAGTGGCAGTCACACATCTCCTTTGACTTGTCCCACTGCTTTCCTTGAAGCTGACAGCCACTGGTCTTTGTCTGAGTTAGACTTATTTTTTAATTGGCAGTAGATTTTTTTTAAAAAAACCTAAATAGTAAATTATAGAATTAATTGTTGATTAATTATGCATTACCCCTAAGTTAATTTTGCTACTTTTTAATAGTGATCGCTTGTCGTTAGTCCATATTGAGATACATGGTTTGATGTCAGTGTGCAGATAATTGAAAAAAGTAATGCAAACAGAAGTTTATGACACAGCTTGAATCAGCACTTTCAGTCTTTTTAAAAAAAAGTCTCTTTAGCATACTCTGAAGACAATACTAAATATTTTCCACTGCCTGAGTAAAATGGCCTAATTAATACTAGTCATCCTCCCATGACAAGACCTCTCGTGACAAGAATTAGGGAAGACATCATGCATCTGTCAAACAGGTCTTGCATACTTTCTTCCCTTCCTTTCAGAGAAGGAGAGAGGAAAGAATTAATACGTAGAAGTCCATTGAAATCTTTCACTGAGCAAGAGTAGAATTTTCGTTTCACCTAGCCTTCACACTTCTTATAGTTTGAGCAAGCATCCAAAACAGAGTGCTGTCCTCTGAAGATGCCGGCCACAGAGACTGGCGAAACGTTAGGAAGAACAACCTTCAGAACATCGCCAAAGAGCCCGAAAAACCTACAACAACCATCCAAAACTTTTACTTTTAAATGCTACATAACACCATTCGTTAATTTTAGGTGCTTTTTAAAGTCTTTAAATAATAAGGTTGCCATAAGTTGGAATCAACTTGATGACACATCACACACGTACAACACAGGGGAAAGCTGTATGTGTGAGAGAAGGCCATTACTCCAGTCAGTTTATTAATTCTCCAAAATCAAAGTAACCTTTCCCCACTAACCAGAATCTACTGAATTTTTACACAGAGTAACAGTTACACTCTTCTTTAGTGCCATAGGTTAAAATAGGAGCATATAATTGTGTTATATGGGTATATACAGTAATGTGAAAAAGAAAGCACACATTCTTTGAATTCTATGGTTTTATGTATCAGGACATAATAAAAACCATCTGGTCCTTAGCAGGTCTGAAAATTAGGTAAACACAACTTCAGATGAACAACAACACATGACATATTACATAACAGATAACTGTTAGGGAGTATAAAATAGAAAGTTTGACTCTCTTTCAGTGTAAGTTTACCTAATAAGGTTCTTGTGAAGACGAAGTGGAGTAGTTCTCATGCATGCCATGTGGGCTGTTAGGAGGGAAGGTGAAATATAAATTGGATGACTTAGAAGTTTTTCAGTGAGCTAGTAAGTAGCTCATATCCTTTTTGTTTAAATAAAAGTCATGCTACCTTTGTGTTACAGTTGAAAGGAGATCTATTAATGTGAATGACCTAGGGTTCCCTCATCAGTTCTTAAATTGCAGCTCCTATTATTCTGTAGGACTGACCAGAGGTGGTGGGAAGCTCGGTTAAACATGTCCATATGAATTATGTATATGAGAGAACAGTTTGCTCACTGTGACGTCACTAGTAGCAGGTTGGATGTAAATGGCGATGCTGAACATAATGTAAATTGATCATAATGATATTTGCAGCAAACAAGCATATGAAAGTTCTTTCTCCTTGCAGAGTTCATTTGCCACCTTCCTTTGCTACTTTTTCTCTGACTAGCTAAACCTCTGATTTGAAACTATTATGGTAGCATATACCAGTATATTTTCGGTTCCTCTTTCTGCAAACAAAGTAATACCAAATAAAAGTACTTTGGTCAACTTGGTTACATTGATTTCCCCATTTTTTTATCCATAAAGTCAAGAGAAACATCATTCCTATCCCGCATCACTAATGGGGTACCGACCAAGAGTAATGTGTAGTCAATCTTACCTCGTTTTTATGGCAAATTGTTTTTAATGTTGGATTTACTGCTAGTTCAAATTTAACTATGTTCTGCTATCATCTTAGGAACCATAGAACAATGGCAGTGCTGATTTGCTTAAAATTTCTCAAATGAAAATTAAAGTGGCAGCAGAAGCACCTTCCCAAGGCTTATATGAACAGTGGTAATGCAGTAAAGGTGCAGTATGTTGACTGGCAGTTACTGCAGATGTGTAATATAGGATAAATTCACTAGTTTTCAAGCTACACTACATTAGCCTTCATTTATATAACTCTGCCTTGGGAATGGTTCTTTAGCAATAACTCTTATGTACTTGTACTCTTATGTACTTGTTCCTTGGAGATTTGACTATAAGATGACTCTTTTCTCAGTAAGCTCACTTTGGATAACATTTAGAGAACAGCTAAAACACACTGTGAAGAAAATGTGCTGTTAAAGAACAGATAAACTACTATAATAATAATTCAATGTATTCTTGATTTGTGAGAGATTGTTAGACCTTTTGTCCCATTGTGATCTATAATGTAAATATTCAAACTTTTCAACTGATAACTAGAAATGAGTTTGTTCATTCAGAGGTTGTTTGCCATCATGTTCATAATATACAGT